TCAGAAGTGGACTCTCATACAGTTTTAATAAGGTGTTCACACAATGTCCAAATCACATTATGTCCAGTTTCACAGAATGTACCGTGGACATTAAGCATTAAGCAGCACGTACTTACACAAGAACAGCTAAAATGCATTTTATCATTGGTATGATACTGTTTCATTAGTGTGGAAAAATGACTCTCAAGACTAGATATCTATTTTAATTCAGGGTCTTCTGTCTCACATCCCTTTTTATGCCTTCACCTTATTTTGAAGCAGAGCTTTCCAGTTCAAATTACATTTCTGACACTAGATATCTTAATAACCTTTATCAACTCTCTCTACTCATTTTCCTTCCTAGGTACAGTGAATAATGTGTCTTCTCCTACCCATGAGGTGTTTCCAAAATACTCTGAGGAGGAGGAAAAGACTCACTGTTATACGATAGGCAGTCTCCAATTTATGATGTTCTGTTCTCACAACTGCTTTAAAGTCAGTTGTCATGCAAGTTGAATACCTCCTTTTTTTTCTTTTCTTTTTTAGTGTTCTTTATTATTGCCTTTTGTTATTAACATCTTTATGAATCCAACCTTTATTTATGTGTCTTTGGGTTCTGGTATGGGGATGGTAACAATTACACACTGCAAAATTGTACACAGTATATATTACACAAATAACATTTCATTGTTAAATGAAGAAAATTGACTATTCTGACACTATCTGAGTAAAGCTGTAAATAACACTAAAGAAAATAGTATTGGCATTCTTTGCCTCAAGAATCAAACAGGGAGAAAAATGAAGAGCAAAAAAGAAAGGAAAGTACTCTATAGTTCCCAAACCAAAATACTATGAAACACAAACAACTGAATTCTATTTTTGCTTGATAAAGGCTAAATTTAATTACTACAAAAGTCCTTTAATAATGCATTTTTTAATCAATTGTAATAAATACTCAAAAATACAAAGAAATATTTAATTTTTTCCCCAAAAGAAAAAATTATGGCAACGGCACATGGGTTAAATAGTTGATAGGGACTCTCTATAAAGGACAACAGTTTCTTTGCTTTGCTATCAACCAATTTCTGCTTTTTTTCTGAATGCATACCTGTACATCCAGGAAAAGATGATACAGGTACACGAGACTATTTCTCAATGTGTTAACCTCTGAAAGGATCATTTTAATAGTCATTGCCACCACACCACCACCATTCCACTGTTCTTTTATTGGCTACTAAGTCTAAAGTTAATCAGTATCTCTAACATCCCTTCAAACACAAAGACTTTAACTTGCCTCTCCAGTTTTACATGCTATTGCTACCTAATGGTTTAGTTCTAAGCGGATAATTATTTCTTGAAACAACCTGAAGATACTTTTGTCATTATTATTATATGAACTTCTTGAGGGTGTAATCATGCTGCATGTTTGGTATGATCACTATTCACTTATGATGGGTTGTTTTCCTGTGTGTTTCAAACTTGGGAATGTGAGAACATCAATAGCAGAGTTTATTTTTGGGAATAGTGTGACACCTAGGTTGAGGTTATAAACTTCAAGGTTGGTTTTGTATTTGCTTCTACTGATAAGCCAGGCTAATCACTAACCTTAGGAAGTTTTTTATTTTATATCCTGGCTTGAGGGTTTCTAGCCCACAAAAGAAACATGTGTTTAAGACTAGACAGTAGTAGCAAATTCTTAGTGGAGACTTTTTTTCTTTAAATCTCCATATCCAAATCCAGGGCTAAAAACCTCCCTATTCTGGCTCTACTATGTTTGTTTGCTTGTTTCTTTTTTCAAAAAAAACCCTTTTTATTGTGAATTAAGTGAAGGTTTTCAGAGAAGATCATCAGTTTTACATTCAGCAAATCATACACTTTGTTTCATTTCAGTGGCTACAATCCCCTCCATGCAGTAACAGTTACCCCACTTCCTCCCTGTGGTTCCTATCTCCATTCCACCCCCTTTCCATCCCTTCTGAACTTGTCCTTAGATAAATGTTGCCCGTTTGATCTTGAATGAGTGACCATCTCCAGATGAACATACCTTACAAGTGCTGCTGTCCTCACTATCACTATCTACCTATCGACTGCTTGGCTGAAAATTGGGTCATGAGGGTGAGTTCCAGTCCAGACCTTAAGGGTGATCGAGGACCATAGTCTTGGGTTCCTCCAGCCTCTCGCTGAGTAGTGAAAGCCTGGTCTTCCTTAAAATTTTGAATTTTGTTCCACATTTTTTTTCTTACTCTATCTGGGATGTTCTAATGTGATTCCTTTTAGAGCAGCTAGTCATGGTTGCTGGGTACCACCTAATTCTTCTGGTCTCAGAGTTGTGATGACTGATGTTCACCTGCTCTACTGGACTATAAATCAAATTATAATTAATTAATTATTCATGTAAGTATGTTAACTGTTCATGTTTTATTCTCTAGATTTCAAATTTTATAAAAGAACAAGCCCATGTCTATTTTCACTACCAAATCCACAATGACTAACTGGCACAGTGAACTCATAGCTTGTCAATAAATACCTGTTGAAAAAAATTCATGAATGGCTAATAAACAGTGGTGGCAGTATTAGATTTCAGGTCCTCTGAATCACAGTCCAATGTGCTAAATGCCTACAGTGAAAAGTGATAGGCTTTAACAGTAAACCTCAGAGAGACTCAGCTTATAAAAGGGAATACCTTAACTTCCCTATGTTTACCCCAAAACAACCAGTGCCATTCACTCATTCACTAAAATTCACTGAGGACCTGTTACAGGCATTGTGCTGAATATAACAGCTATAATAGGAGGCCAAATAAACACAGGACCTGACTTGAAAAAGGTGACAAATATGACATACATGAACTCGAGCTATATGAACTACAGCATGATGATGGCACTGACTACTGGCATGGCCCAGCCCACGAAGTCATTTCCCAACTTGAAGGCACAACAATTGAGTGATACTTAAGGGCCACAAGAACAAACACATCTATGTTGGAAGAAGCAGAGCCAGAAAGCTCCTTAGAGGCTAGGATGGCGAGACTACATCCCTCATACTTTGAACATGTTACCAGAAGAGACCTGTCCCTAGAGGAGAACATATGCTGGGTAAAGAGGATCATCGGAGAAAAAGAGGAAGACCACCAGTAAGACGGAATGGCATAATACCAGCAACAAGTGGATTCACAACTAATGATTGTGAGGATGGGGCAGTGTTTTATTCTGTTGTGAAGAGAGAGGGTTGCTGTGAGTCAAAAGTGACTCAACGGCACCCGATGAAAAGGAACCTAAGGACAGTGGGTCCCTGGGTGGTGGACACTTTTATGCACCATTGTCCTTTCAAATATACATAGTATAATGGCTGAAAGTCGGAGATAGATAAACTCAATTTGTCTTGTACTCAGTTAAATTCAGTTAGGGAACATAGAGTGAGATTAATAATACTCCCAGAGTTGCTATTAACTATTTATGTATGTAAAGTTTATCATGATCTGATACATAGTAAATATTCAATAAATGGTAAGCATTATTTTTTCCTATCTGTGATTCCCCATCATATTCATTAGCTAGAAATTGAATAATTGTGATCTTTTCTCTGGTTTTTCTGTCACCAGATTCCTTGGAATGCCAAAGTTACCACTGTTCTCATCTACTTAATTATTAATTTTTTGGTTGTAATCATGCCCAGAACTTTTCTTTAAACTCCAGACCCATATATTCAACTGCTTACCCAGTATCTACAATTGGAGTTCACGGGTGGTGTAAATCCACCCAGAGGCACCTCAGAACACAGGCCTGGCAATTGCTTCTGAAAGGCCACAGCCTTGAAAACCCTACGGAGCAGTTCTACTCTGTGCAAACTTGGTTGGCATGAGTCGGAACTGACTTGATGGCAATTAACAACATCAAAAAGCATATCAGTCTTAACAGGTTTAAGCTTCTGATCTCCCATCCCTAACCAAGACCCCAAACAAAAACCAAAATGCTATTACTCTTAGAGCTTTTTCATTCTCAGTTAATGGCAATTCTAGTTTTCCAGTTGCACATATATGACAAAAGCCTTTTAAGTTAGCCTCAATTCCTGTCTTTCTCACACTTCTCATGGTGTACAATTTAGTTGGTTTTGACTCACAGCGACCGTGTCGAGGGTTTTGGACACTGCAAATCCAAGCGAAGCAAGAAAATAACTTATAACTAGGAACATCTTTTTATTTTTGTGAATATCAAACTTACTCCCTGTTGTTGTTGTTAAGTGCTGTCGAGTTGGTTCCGACTCATAGCGACCCTGTACAGGGTTTCTGAGGCTGTAAAATTTTTATAGGAGCAGAAAGCCTCATGTTTCTCCTGTGGAACAGCTGGTAGTTTCCAACTGCTGACCTTGAGATTTAGCAGCACGATTTGTAACCACCATGCTACTCGTAGTTTCATTTAAATTGTTTCTCCTGTATATGATGAAGTTATTTACTTTTCTTTTTTTCAAGTGTGTATTTGTTTTATAATAAACTATGAAAAGGAACAACCTATTTGATTACTACAGTTGGTGGGATAAGCAACCAGTCCCATATCAAGTACTAACTGGAAAGGATTGCTGAGGAAATAATGTATGTGTTATATTTACAACACACATCTTTAGGTCTAAAAAAGTGGTTAAAAAGCTGTTGAGCACATAAGATTTTAGTAAGTGAAGATAAAGGCGAGCAGACTGAAAGATAGAAAGTGAGGAATAGACATTACATAAACGTATTTTTTAAAGTCTGCTTCATAAACAAGTCAAATTTATATTACTAAGCTTAGTAATCGTTTGAATTATATTCATACAGGTAATTACTATGCTCATTTGTCTTGCTCTGACTTATTCATTGATTTACACATACAACATTATCAATTATGAACTGGATGCCAAGTGCTATTAAATTATTTACAACGTGGACCTTACCTCACAACTGGGGTATTATGGTAAGCAGATATATATGTATATACAATTACAATACACAATGATAAAGCATAAATAAAGTTAAGGGAAACCATACTTACATTAAAAAGCTGTTTTTCAGCATATGTTCTAATCTGTCCTTTGTGAGAAAAGAGGAGAAAAAAATTCATTCAATGTAACAATATTCACTACATAACTAATTTAAAGAGTAGAAGAATTCTGCATTACTCCCCAAATTAATTACCTTTTGGCCAGGAGCTATGAACTTGTGACAGAGTTCAACATCTTCAGGACAATTTGAGAGAACCATCATTGTGGCAGTCTTAAAGAGTCTCTCCATCACCTATAGAGAAATGACAGAACACCTGCCAAGTAAGCGGCTTTATATGAGCAACTTGTTCGGGGCTCTATAAGGACAGTTCTCAATCTTTCTAGTAATGATAAATCCATTAGGCCTCTTAATCTCTGAATGTAGCCAAGCAAGTTCACTTTTCCAAATTTAGTACAAGCGGTACCTCAACTTCTGAGAGGATGGGGGATAAAAGAAAACAGAAATACTTGAATTTTACAAGATCAATTTCAATACTGGTATTAAAGTAGGATGTCATCTGAACAGCTAAAACTCACCGATGCCTCTCTAAATTCCATTATCCTCACATGTTTAATCAGGATATTAATAGTACCTAGTTTACAGGATTGTTGTGAGGATTAAATGAGATCATCCATGTATAAAATTTAGTTCAGCATGAGGTTCAGAGAAGCACACAACATACATTACCTATTGTGAAGGCAAGAGAACCTTGAGAAATGGTTCCGATACATAAAAATTATTAATGTGTACAAGAACAAGCAAGTTGCTCGCCCAGGAGACATCAAAGCAAGTGGTTGGGTCCCCTCAGAGCAAACTCCCTTCCAAGACTAAAACTCAATGGGAATATACACTCTGATTGGTGACCACGTTCATCACCGATAAGGGGAAGTGAGGGGAAAACAGCAATGAAGCTGCAAGGTAAGCCCTACAACGTTCAATAAACTCCTATGAACCCGGGTGGAGACCTGGTTGGCCAGCAGTGTGGCAAGACCTGGG